AAAAATTTTGCACAATTTTTATAAATTGACTGACGGATTCGGTTCAGCGTTGAGTGGTGTTACATTCAAATTGAAATCACTAATTCTTAATTGCTCTGCTCAAAAAACCAAGTCGTTTACGTTTCAAAGAATTGCAGACCCGACAGAGGGTGATTTGGGCAAAAATTCATGGTTTACAGAGTCCAGAATTTTGATCTTCGTTGTTTTTCAGAATCCAGATGGATTTGAGCTTGTCCGTAAGACAGTTGCATATCCTGGTAATCGATTCTATGCTGTTGAATTTCTTTTACCGGAGCACTTGAATTTCGGAGAATGGCAAATTGTTGCTGCTGTGAAGCATCATAAGCAAACTGCCAAACGGCATACCTACTCGGTTACGTTTAATGTACAAAATTACGGTATGTTTTTGATGGTATTTGATTGATTATCTGTTTTGTTTAGCAAATTGAGGGAGCAAAATTACTGCTTTCTGAATGGCATTATTATTAGAATTACATGTCTGATGAAATATGTCGAAATCTACAGAAATATTAGAGCTTTCTAGGTTTTTTAACTTGTCTGAAATTGTGGTTGTAAAGCTGTGAATTTACAGAATTGCCGATATTTCGTGTTCATGTGTTAGCCAAAGAAACAGGTTATGCGGACTTATATGAACTGGATGTTATTGCAAGGCAAGTTCCACGCTTTTTTTGTTATCTTAATCAGTGTAATCGCGGTATGTTGTTACTGTGAACTGTTACAGCACACCGCTCCTTAATAGTACTGTAGCCTGTAGTGGCAGTTACATTAATTTGGTATTCCTGTTATGAGCAGCTCAGAAGAATAACAGTCTGTGCCAATAAAATAACTAATGGTAAGGAACATCTGGAAAGTTACTAGAAAGGTGTAACGCACGGAGAAGGGCCGGAGGGCCTGTGTAGGGAGTTCTTCCGCTATGGGGTTGCAAGGGACGGGGGGCGGAGGGGAGGGAGCGGCGCTTGCCCAAACCAATAAACAATCCTTTATTAAAAAAACAAAAGCACACCTAGAAACGAAACCCAGGCTGGAACGCACCAGGCGGGCCGGTGCGATTATGCGTTTTTGCACTTCTCGTGC